CAAAAGAACTGTGCCTTACATTATAAGGCAGATGATGCCTCCTCCAAACCACAATAGGCATGTGTCTTAGGGAGTTATTGCCCACCCTAAGATACACATAGCAGGGCAGACTTAGAAGGATTGGGGAAAGGAAAGGTTAAACCAAAGCTCACCAGCCTTACTTTAATTTTGGTAGAAATGTAAGCTCTCCAAGCCATTGGGTACAAACAGGCCTGATGTTGAAGAAACGTCTTGTAAATATATGTAAACAACACTTTCATCTATGATTATAAAAGCTGGGCTATGTGATCTCCTGTACACCCTAGAGGTGTCTTACTGACTACTTACATATACACAGCTACAGGGCACCCTTTAGTTTGGCTTGCAGAATGCTTAAGCAATCTGTTTTCTCCATAACAGTTGGCTAATATTTTCATCTTGTCCTTAAGAAATCATAGGCTGGCAATCTCAACTGCAGTTAAAGCAGGGAAACTTTTCCATTAACTTTTACAGACCAAGATTGGAGGCACATATTTAGGGAGGAAAACACAATATTCAGCTCAGTGGCAGATAATATTATGCACATATATTTAAACAAGATAGTCTTTTAATTTCACCAAGTCTGAAAATAAGGCTTTAATGCTTCCTAATTTAAAACCACACTTGGGAGCAAGCACTGCCATCAGGAACTGGAGTTCCCTTCTCACTTCAGAATTTTCCATCCACCAGCTGACCTCTGTGATTTGCTGTGTGAGGAGAAAACCATTCTGCAAATGACCAAATTCTTGCTTTTGACGTGGCAAGCAGAATTTCACCCTATGGTTTGAGCTCCCACTGCATCATTTCTGCCTCCCCAGATGTATAGGTGGCACAGTGGTCATGGAGAAAGAGGATGATGCTGCCAAGTCCCTGGCAGCATGAGTCCTTGAGATGTGGGTGTCTCCCACACTGGCAGCATCAGTGGCTGATGGAACACACCTGGATCATGCCACCCATGAACAGAAGGGCAGGCAGTGCAGTGACAGAGCCTGGCTAACTCACCTGGTCACTGCCAGATGGTCACCTCACCTATTTTGTGTTTTGCCCACCCAAATCTGTATCAAGTGTCCAACAAGATGCTTTGAGTTAAGGACAAAAATACAGCCCTTTAAAGAAAAGGGATCTGAACTGGAAATGCACTTGATGACAAGTTGAGGTTCTGCTCCCGTATGTGTATTTACGAGGTTTGGAGTGATGTCTTTGTGCTTTGAGGGATTTTTGTAACAGAAGTGGAATATTGATGAGGGCTCTGCCTAATGGGGAACTACCTGATTTTGTACAACTTGTCTATATCATAAGCTCTGACAGTTACATGAGAAATTTGTGACTGTATCTGAAAATGGTTTTTGCTACACTTAACCCTATCTTCCATAGGAGGCATTCTCTATCCTGCTTCTAATAGGGATCAGATAATGTGCAGTGGTATCTAGGCCTACTTAACTAATTTTGAGAAATATAATAATACCAAGTACATGCGACAGAGCCCTATATAACTTTAATCTGTCAGCATGTCTTTCTCCTACACCTATTTGCTAGCACAGTAGACAGATACCAGTAAGCATGCAATACAAGACAGGCTGTATTTTCCTTGCCATTCCATTCTAATACTATGTGTCAAAACAGTTGCTATATAAAAAATTTTGCATTTCAAAACTGTTAAATTGAACAATTTTTATTTCCACTACAAAGTCTTCTGTAGATGAATGCATGTTCATGAAAAAGAACTTTCACATTCAAATTAAAGCATAGAACTGTTGAAGATCAAAGTAGCTCTAACCATTTAGATTACTTTTTGGTGGAACTAGAAAATTAACATGTGAAGAAGAGCATGTAAATGATGTGTAAATTATGTCATAGAGTAACTTAGAAAATATTATTTTTTATAACTGAATCAAACTGACAGGGAAAGGAAGACTTGGATTTTACAGAGAACTTAGTGTTGGATAGCAAGCCAAATATAAATCCTAAAGTAATATATGTAATTGCAGCAAGTATTTTAGTCAGGTGCAGGGACCATTATTAGGATTTGTTTTGCAAGCATTTAACATTTTCATAATAATCTGAAAGAGGAGTTTCATAGCATGCTAATTAAGTTAAGAGACAATTCTGAACTGAAGGAAGTCACAAAGCATCAATGAAGACTGAGATATAATGTGACAGGATTGAAAGAATTAGAAAAATAAGAAAGAGAAAATGAGATTCAAACTTGGAAAAGTATAGTCAACTATATTTTAATTTAAAAATGCCCCACACAGGAGAGAAGTGAGTTTGAAACAAACAAAGCATTAACACCAAAGGAGTCAGTGAATTCGATTTTGTTTGACATGTAATGCAGAAACTGCATAGACTATTTTTGTTCTGAGTGCTTGTGAAGAAGTCTGCTCTTGGAGAGCTTACAGAAATTTACAGGAACCCAAGGATGAAAGAAGTTCCCACACATTCATTCATGAGGAAAAAAAATACAATGGTTGCACTCAAGATCAGGCAAGTGGCAGTTGAGGTTGTGCTTATATACATACATTTATTTGAAGAGTGTAAGGATCAGAAACAAGCTAAGACTGGAAATTTCTACCTGGTAGAAAATCATCAGTGTAGAAAAGAACTATCATGATCTGGGATACTTAGTGTTTTGCTAGATCACTAGACATGGTGGTACGAAGAAATTTCTATCAGCCTCAAGAATCAATGCAGCATAGCTTTTCTATCTCCTATATATTCTTCATGATTTCATCTCACAGTTCAAAGCAGTAAAACTTAGCATAAGTTGAGTTTATTCCTAAATGTCACTGCAGTGAGATGCAATCCTGCAGTGAAATTTAAGCACACTATAATACGAAAAAAGCATATCCCAGGACTGCAAGACTGCAGCTCTACAGATGGTCCAACAATCCGCTGCAGCATTAAGAGACATTTTCTACTTCTTTTTAAACATTGAAAATATCATCTGCCTGCGCTAATCCAAATATTTTATGGTGCATCTCTTCCAGTTGTCAGCTGATTTGTTATACTACATTATCTCTCACTGTCTCCCTTACTCACTGTCTCGCTCTGCTGTAAGTGCCACAAATGACAGACAGCAGTACTTGTGTAAAATCATAGCAATTTAGGAGCCATAGTTTCAATTTCAAAAGGAAAAGAGGTAAATCCCAGAGCCTCTGCATTTTGCTGTCAGCTCAGAGACAGGCCATTTGCTTGTAGCACTCCCTCTGCTCTGGGTTTTTCCCTGCTTTGTGTACTTCAGAAGAGGATGAAAAACTTGGAAATGTGGGGTTGATTTAGGGCAGGCTGTTTTAGAGCTAGGAGGGAAAAAAATGGATTAAAAACTAAGAATGTTGCATTATGTCTAAGTGAACCTGCAAGAGATAAATGTTATCTTGATTTAAGTTAAAAAGATAAAACTTTGATTGTCTGAAGTCAAAAGGTCCCATTGACTTCAGGGGGATTCTGTGGCCACTAAGGATATGGCCTATGATATGGCCTATGGCCATATTCTGTCTTTGCACTCATTTCTGTAACGAGCACCAACCCGAACTCATGGACTATCAGAACTCCTGCATGTCTGGACCTCCCCTGGGTCTCTCTGGAAACACTTCCCTTTGGTGCTGGGTCAGCAGAGAAACAGCTCTTAAGGACTGTACAAATTGCCTCTCAGCTGGTTTGCAGCAGTGTAATCCACTGTGGCAGGACTGAGGTATGCACAAGCCACATGTGAGTAATATACATATGGCCATGACAGCTGAGGGAGCAAATGTTCATCTCCAGTTCTACACTGTACAGGTCTTAATAAACAGAGTGCCAAAAATGTTTTAACTTTCTCCTGGACAATTTGCAGCTAAAGCACACAACGTGTTATAGAGCTCCCTACAAATAATCACACAAGGACAGAAAACATGCTATCAATTTTAGCTGCAACTTCATTTTTCTACCAGACAGTAACTACTACATATCCCACTACTGTAATCTATATTGAGGGGAGGCCACATCTCCAGTCCTCAGTACGTCTGAGCACAAGCACACATTTACAGATCTCAGTGTTCATCCATGTACACGAGACAGAAAAGTTAGGCCAGAACTATAGGGTTTTTTCCATGATTTGAAATGAATTAATTTGTTAAGAGTGCTCTTGAAGATGACTTTTTACCACCTTCTTTTTTTAAAATTAAATTCCATTATCAAAGCGTTACCCTTTGATTAAGTCCTCAGCCACAACTGATTCAGCATATTTCAGTTCTTCAGGTACCTAATTAGGATGCGAATCTTTGTTCATGTTATTTCTTTGTAACAGAAGTAGTACTTTCAGTGGCTTTGGTAAAATACAACTAGAAGAATTAGATGAACAGAAATTTTCCATTAGTCATTGAGTTTCTAACAGCCTCACATCACAGAGAGGTCTCTGTCAGTTGTCAAAGATGAAAGCAAGGGACAGGTTCTCCAAGGCCTTCAGGCAGAGAAGCAGGGATATCCACAGAAATACATTCACAGTTTGTGCACCTTATGAATTTAGTGAGCTTGCTCACATCTGTGCAGTTGAAGTAGGAACTGGTACTTTTTCACAGTAAGTACCCTAGAATTAGCTGCTGTGGTGATTCTGGGTGTTGACAAGAATACGGATGGTTGGCTGAAGAGATCATTTAACCCTGCCAGTAATGAGCTCATTTGAAACAAGCCCCTTCCTAATTATCACTTGGTTATGATTGATTCATCACCTGCTTTGATGCTCCTATTTAATAAACAGAAATGAACTGCTGGGTTTAAGAACTGCATAATTTTTAGTAAAAACAGAGCTGCCTTAATGTTACGTCAATTAGTTCCAGACTTATTTTCTCCCTCCACACTCTCCGTGTGTGTGTGCACACAAGTGTGAACACGTAACTATTGTGTACCTGTGTATGGAATGCCTGTGTGACATTCTAATGAAGACAGTACTGAAGCGTAGCTTATATATACACATTGCGCTACAGGAATAAGAGTTTTTTTCTTACCGATTTCGCTCATGGATATCCCTGGAGCTAATTGCCCGCTGTTGAAAGAGCTATAGGTAAACAAGTTTGGTACAGAGGTGAGGTCATAGATAGGTTCCTGCTTTATCTGTTTGATTCCAGTCATGTCTAACCCAGACTGGTCTGGGGAGGGCTGGGCAGAATCCACGTTGTAATAGCCCTCAGACTTCGGCAGGTCGATGACGTGCCCGTTGGAGTAGGTGCTGCCAGTTTCGTTATTCAGATTGTTCAAGCCATTGCTGATGCTGCTGCTGTAAACCCTGGCGAGAGCTTCTGCCTCACCACTCTGCTGCTGCCGCTGCTCCTGCAGTCGCTGCTGGTGCTTCTGCACTTCAGCATACAAACTATCCCTCTGCTTTTTGGACATTCTTCCAAATTTCACAGCTGAAAAGCAAAGCACAGTGCAAACCATTGTCATCTTTAAATTTCTCCTGATTCCCGTCAACCTCACCACTCTTCTGGTATTACCTTTCAGGGTTAATTTTGCTGTGGAAACACCTTTTTCTATGGAAATGATTAAGGATGAAAAGCTTTACATCACATACATCTCATAAAGGAAAAAATATTGCGTACTTGAATTTACCAGGTGACAACAACTCCTATTTGACAAGAGGGCCTCAGTCAAGTAATACACTTCCCACTATGAATGTTAAAAAGACCATGCATCCTTTTATATCTCTGTATTCACTGAACAACCACCCAGAGCTGTATGAAATGTACAGTCTGTGAATTCAATTCATATCCATTTACTAATTTTCCACAAACCATTACACAATACACTAAAAAGATTAGTATTCTGTGTGAAAACAAGCCCTAAAGACTTATTATCCCATCCTTTCAATGGGGTGTTATCTTCCTACTTTAAAAAAAAAAAATCTTACAGGTTAGAACCTAGTGGAAAATAACAGATTTGAAGGTAAACAGCACAAATGAATGTCATCTTTTCCATTGAGCAAAGTCTTAGGGATTTATGCAATCTCCATTTCAATAGTCTTCATGCACAAATCCATGCACTCCTTCTGATAAGAAACAGAGGAAAATATAAGAGGGCAAACCATTTTTCCCAGAAACAGGGTTCATCACAGCAAGATTGAAATTTTCAAAGGTGACAGGCTGATTGCTGTGGAACTAGGAGGAGTAAATTCACAGCCTGTATATACAGTAGATCACAGCTGATTATCACTCTCCACCCCCATCTCTCCATAAATTCTGGTCTTTTACTGGGGTAACTCTTGGGATCTTAGAGCAGAGACAGTTGTTGATTGTGCTCCAAAACAAATGAGAGATACATTCAGCAGAATTCATCAGAACAGGTAAGGGGACATAGCACCAGAAATACAGACTTCTACATATTATGAGGTGTATTTTCTATATTGTGTATTTCCAGTCCACCTGAAATTTGGATCAACTCAGAATCATATTTATTAGCACATGATTCTCATTAAGCCCTTGAGAAGAGTTTGAACCTATATGTGGATAAATGTGAAATTCTTCAATCAGGAAAAAGAACAGAAAAAGTAGAGCATAATATGAAAATACAGTGCCAGAACAACAAGGTGACAGCTGCTTTGATTTATTTTCACTTTTTTTTTTACATCAAGAGGGTTTTTTTCTTATTGCCAACCTCAGTTTAGTTGCAGCCCTACACTCAGGCTACAAGCTACCTCACATGAACTCAGCCTGCCCCTGGAATCAGTGCATGGTATGCTGCATACCCTTATGGTCAATATACAACGACTGTATTTTAAATAATTTTGAATATTGCAACTGTGTATTTTCTTCAAATTTAGGCCCTCAGCAGTAAAATCAATGTTTATCCTCATTATATATTCATTAATTGGATTCTCCAGCTGCTGTCAATTAGCATCCTGCCTCTGCATGATAAAAATGCATTTATTACGTGGCTGAGAAGTAAAAATCAAATTAAATTTTCTGTCAAAAAATTCACACAGCCAATTTTAAATTTGCAAGGGCTCTTAATATACTTAATCCTAAACAATCATAAATACCCTTACATCAACTATGAGAGAACAAAGTGATGCTGCGGAAGAATCACTCATTTTGTCTCTCTGCAGTAGTCTCTGAATTACTGGTTGGGAAGACGGCACTGTCAGTCACATTAAAATGCCCCTGTGATTTACCTTAAATCACTGGAAGATGCTACTGTTAGGAGGAAAACCTGTGCTGCTAAATTGTTGAAATGTTACTTCTTTAATCACCATAGAGAATTAGGAGCTAAGGTATCAAGTAATTAATGGATTAAAGGCTCTTCCCAGGTGAGACTGGTAAATGAGTAACTTCAGTGAGACATAAGACACACTGAGGTAGAAGAAGACCTATTATGGTCCAAATTTTGAACAAGTTTATAGTCTTTGGACCATCTAAATAAATAGCTCCTTACATAACTTCTCCATCAATAATTCAATTTAAAAATACACATTTTGTGTCAACCTTTTAAGAGAGAAAATTGCTTCCAGGAAAATGAAATTAATATAAACTGCTTTAAAAAATTACTGCTTTAAAAAATTTTCCTCTAATACTTTCTCACCGTATAGAACATGTTTTTGAGCTGGAAACCCTCTGCACGAGGAGCGGTGTCCAGGGCATGTCAGCTGTGGGCAACCTTGGCTCAGCCTCCTATTGCCTGCAGCTTTGGTGTGATGCATGTTCTCCACCTGTTGATATTAGCTGATCACACCACAAACTGGAAGGTGGACCAGAGCTCTACAAGGAGCACAGGATCCTGAGATGGCATAGACTGTGGAGCTTTCTTCTGGCATAGGATACACTTTCAGTGCTAGATTAGGAAACATTCTTCTACAGACCCAGATAGGGACAGGAGGCAATGTGCAAGTAAAAGAAATGGGGTTTCTTCCAATGCAAAATATTTGGTCAAGTGCACCGAATAAAACAAACAGAAACCCCTAATGATATCAAGGTGTAAATTTGTGTAGGGCTGTGCCTCCTTACCACCAGTCTCAGGGAAATGGATGCTTTCACACATCATTATTAAATGTTAAGATAACTGTTCATGTTTAATGTAATATTTAATATAAACCCATCTGTCCAGAGGTGACTTTTTTGCACTCTGTGCTTTTGATTAGAGTAACATATTTCAATTCTGACTCTTTTTGCTCTAAACTGATACTGCTCTCCATTTTGTGATTTTCCCCACCCCTGTCCATGAAAATAGCCTTCTTTGTTAACCGGATGGCAAAGATCGTCTCACAGCACACGCGTTACAAAGCAATGAGCTTCTCCTCTCTCTTTTTGCAGAAATCTACAGGGAGTTTGAGTAAGTCAGCAGTGAAGAAAAGTTTCAAAGAGCTTAGATGTGAAGCACAGATTTGACTCCTTACCATCTCGAGACATTCCCAGGGCAAGACATTTCTGCAGTCGGCAGTGTTGGCAACGATTTCTGTTGGTTCTGTCAATTAAACAGTTTCTCTGTCTTGGACAGGAATAGGATGCATTGTTCTGCTGACTCCTCCGAAAGAATCCCTTGGGGAAAGAGAGCAGGAAAGACCAAGTATATTACCACGAGTGTATTTATGTGCATGAGCATGCATGCAGAGACACACGCACACACAGAGAAGCATGCAAACAACTACAGCAAACCCCTGTTTAGTGCACCGCTACTTATGCTGTGACTCTGCAGATATGGTGGTATTGTATTAAAGAACGTTTAATTATAATAAGCAGAACTGTGTATTATTCTGTAAAGAATATAATTCTGCTTTCTTAAAACCTAAATTATGTTACAGAATTCATTTTTACAGTGCAATAACCACTGTGTATCATCTAATACTCGCTCCTGATAGAGGAAAAACTTCTCAGCATTTGTAAGAGATGACTTCAAAGTACTTGTTTTGACATTTCTCCCTTTAATGAAGAAACTAACTGTAAATGTAGAGGTAATTGTTACTGGGTACACATAGCATGATAAGCTGAAGTCTACTGTTCACTTTAACTTGCCAAATGTTGATTTGATCTGGAGAGGCATATGATTCAGGAGTGAAGTAATTAAAATTCAGTCTTCACAAAAGCACTAGGATATAATGACTGTATCAAGTACACAAAAGAGAAAGCAACCCCTTTAGGTACTACCATGAGAATGTAATGGCATTTTCCACGGGCTGTTTGTCTAGAGATCTGCAGGCTAGAGGAGAAGTATACACACTAAGACCTTAGGAACTTCAAGCTGCTATGAGGTGACGCCAAGAGCAGCACTGAAAGGCGCTTCTACTGTTATGGTAGAAGTGACATGAAGTAGCTGAGGTGACAAGAGGAATGAAACCAGAGGGTGAAGAGAAACGAAAATAAATAATCTATATCAAATAACTAACTAACTAAATAAATAAAAAGATCAGGAATATCTGCAAGTCCAGAGGGGATAAAAATGTAGAGAACTCCCCTAACCTGTTTGGCAACTTTAAATGAAAGCAGTGCATGTTGTGGTGGGAAAGCTGAAGGATAGCCTGGCCACTGGCTATGAGTAGTAAAACAGCAGAAATACCATTACTGCAGTTACACCAGTCACCAGAAGTGACACCAAAGTATTGTGTCTTTCTGGGGTGGCTTGAAAACACCTTGGAATAAAGCCACAAAACAACAGCTGACTTCATTTATCAGGAAAAAAATAGTATATCTCTGCATAGGTTGATGGATGTTAATACTGAGCAATGGACAAAGCCACAAGGTGACAGTGCTACAGGCCTCAGCTCACTTGCTACAGCTTATACATGAATTCTCTCTCAGGTCCTGACGAGCTGAATGAGGGTGGTGTGGTGTCAGTAATAGCAACAGGCACCGTGTTCCACCAAAGACACTGCCAGTGCTAGGTCTTGAAGTTGAGCATAGAGACCCACTTGAACTGGGCTGAGTTTGCTCCATCAGTGATTACACAGTGTATCTAAAATATAAAATAAATTTTATGACTCATACTTTTCAGAAAATAGATGTCCTTTGGGAGAACTCTCAGAAAAATTCTGGTGGAAACTTAACTGTTCTTAGCTGACCAAAACTTTCCTGATATGGTAGAGCTGCCTTTAATTTAAGACCAAATGGATGCTAATTGTAGATGTCTTTGCTGAACTTTATAAAATCAGTCTTGCTTTTGACTTGTGAAGGGTTGTCTATTTTCAGTTTTAGATTTTAGCAGCATCTATGTATTTCAGAGAAAAAATTAATTCAGTAGTGTTAAAAAACCACACTCAACCATTTAGCATTGACAGTGCTTTCTCCTGCATAACTTTTTGTTCCCTTTAAGGCTGATTTCATCTCAGAGGAATTTGTTTCATCTTTGCCCTCCTTAGGAAAAAATGATCATATTATGTATCAAGGGTTGCATAAGAGAATTAATTTAGAGCGGGCAATTAATTTTTCTGAGGAGAATTTTATGTTCTCATACTCCTGCATAAGATCTAAATGTTGTCTTATAAAATAGAGATAATCCTTTCATTTTATTTTTGTGGTATCTTTATACAGATTTGGCTACATCGTTTTATATCGAAATAATTCCATTTTGTATGAAGGAAGATGTATTTCATAACTGAGGCACTAAAGAGTTAAAGACGGATTTCCCAGTACTTCCAACATGGACGACAAGTCTTTGAACAGATCACTTCACCCGCCACCCACAGCCAGTCTGAAAAAGGAAATTGCTGAATGAGCTACTTTTTAATTCATGACAAAACAGTGGTGGAAAGTACTTTGCTTTAGGGGAAGGCACAAGAAATGATAAAATCCTTCTTAGTGAAGAAGTAGCCGCAGAGATAGATGTGATGCAAACTCATCTTCAGGTTTCACCCCTTTTGTAAGAATAGTGTCAGAGCTGTAAACTCACTCAGTGGGTCCAGCAGGTCCACCGCATATGCACGTCCAGCATAAGGCAGGCATGCATACAAACCAACAGCAGTATTTCAGATGACCCTTAAGCACTTAGAATATGGATCTGCCACCACAGCACAGCTAATGTAGCAACACTGAGTTAAAGGGTTTTCTGTTCCTTGAAGTTTGCAGCACCGCCACTGGCACTGTAATTCTTGGATGCAGTATCCTGAAGTGCTGTGGCTGCTTGGTGCCTGGCTCAACATGTGTGCATGCTTGTGGGGTGATTCCACCCTCTTTCTTCCACTCATGGCCTCTATTCTAAATAATTTCAGGTTTCCAACAAACCGAGACAAAAAGAGCCAGAAATGACGAGTATGCAGGCAGAGTGAGTAGCTATGTAAATGCTGGGCACTTAAATGGATAGCAGAGCTGCCAGAAACAGTGCTTACCTTAACAGGGAGCTCTGACAGACTGGGATGCCTCCCAGTGGAACTGACATGAAAAACCCACACCTTTTTTTCACACAGGCTCACAAAACAAGATTAGGCAAATTGATCTGATACAGCAAAACTGGCACAAACCCAGCAGGTTAAAACTTCTAAGTGGAAGAGAATCTCTTTATCTCAATGAGCAGTCTACTCACACAGTGAGTACTCAGCACAGTGGTATCATCTCCTCTTGAGGCACACGCAAGGGCCAGCATTAACCCTAATTACTTCTACGGAAGACTATACCCCTAGACAGTCTGTGGGCTCTGAGTACTGAGAGAAGATGCTCTTTTTCTGCTTAAAGTAATTTCCTTCCATAGCTTTTGTGCCAATTTTGAATTATGAGATCAATTAGTTTAATCGTGTTTTTTCATGTGATTGTCATAAGAAGATGCTTATTTCTAGTCCAGTGACACTGTAAGACAAAGACACGCTGCAAATTGTTCTGCTTACAATTGTCAATGTTCCTGAAAAAAACCCTTGATCTTTACCAAACATACCAGTATATTGGTTCTCAATGTACTGGCATGAAAGTATTTCTTTTGTAAATGGGTGCATCCAAATTTTCAGATTTTTCAGCTGTTCTAATACTTTGTAAAGCGTTAGGTACAGACTTGTGATTTCACACTGCAAATAGGCACTCATTTGCAAACATCCTAGCTTGCGTGTTTCCATGTACAAGAAATCAGAGATGCTGAAATCTTTGCAATTTCCCATTTACAATTAAAATTGAAATACCAACATGTAGTATGAAACTCTTAGTTTATCATGAGTAATAATGTAATTACTTAGATAATAAAATCACAGACAATTTTTAAAATTGAGAATCGAAGCCTTTCTTCTCTCTGCTTGGGTCTGATTTGTGTTATTTGAACTAATGTCTGGAATAATATGTTGATATGTCTAAGCAGCAGGTCTGTGCATTTCCCCCCCTCCGCCCCTTTTTTAACCTCCAACTCCCAGCAACTGCAATTTCATTCTGCACTAATGCCTTTAAGGAAGAAGACAAAGAATCCTTTTACACTGCTCATAATGTAAGGCATTCTTTCATTTTCAGATTACAATTTGACCTGCGGATTGTGCAAAAAGAGATAAAAAAGGACCCAAGTCACATCTGTAAGCTCTTAAAAAAGGCTGACCAGAAGTAACATGCCAACTGTAATGCTACATGGGTTCTATAGGAAGCAAGATAAGAAATCCACCTCTTTCAAAGCTGATTTAAGGTAGAATAGGTGTGACTTACAGTTGCCAGCCTCTGTTGGTGTCAGCACTTACTCTGCACCAGATGTAATTAATTCATGCTTCAAACAAGGAGGTAGCTCTAAAGACTATTTGATAAAATGGAAAGCAACTAGAAAAATTAGCCATGAAATACATCTTTATCATCAGTGGGCTTTACAGCCTTTGGCACCACTTGTTTGAAAGCTTGTAAGAGTGTATCATTGTTCAGAGGTTCTTGAGGCTAATGCAAATGATGATGACTATGCTGTATTAAAATCTCGTACCTTGCAGCCTTCACATGTGATGACTCCATAGTGTATTCCAGAGGATTTATCACCACAAATTTTGCATGGTATCACTTCAATTTGTGCTGAAAGAGAAAACAACACAGATATTTTAGGTATATAATTGTACTTAATTTCTTTTTTTCCTCAAAATGAGATCTTTAGAAATAGAGAGTAGATAACCAGATGAACCCCAACAATACACAAATGCTTTGTATTGTATGTCTCTTTCTGAATGTTTTAATTTGGCAAATTTTAAATGCTTCACATCATGTAGTTTCTGCCACATCCCACAAAACTCAACATTTTAAAATGTCTCACTACTAGTAAGTTTTTTCTCATATTCCTTTTTTAAATTTTTTTTTACTTGTTAATTTTATAATTATTATTACTAATGACAGTCATTAGAGGTTCTAAACAACAATCTGGATTGTCCTTTCCTACATACTTCAAATATTTGTGACATTCCATTTTTCTGAGGTAGAAATACAGGGTGTATTTTGATGCCCTTTTGAAAACAGAGTAGAGATGATGAAGTTTTCACTCTCTTCAAATTATGTTCAAGACATGAAGATACTAATACCACTGTCAGAGACAGGCAGGTAAAAGCTTGCTTAATCTTCCTCTCTTCAAACTACTTGCTTTAACACTGGGTTATTGGCAGGCAAGGCCCACAGATGGAGTTTAGGTAGCCAGTGGCTGTGTGCTGGGACAGTCAGGTACAGTCTGAAAAATGTTTAAATATGGATGTGCTCCAGATCCTTTTATAAACATATGGTCATCTGATTTCATTATCTTTCAGATTTTTTTTTTTTTTTGCTAACACAACTCTTTGATTCTCTCAATTACTTTCAGTCCTGTGTCTTTCCTTTGATGATGCTCTAAGAGCACATACTTAGACACGTAAGGAAAAACTGTGCCTTTATTTAAGTCAGATGAACTGAGAAGAAATGTTAAACTTATTTTCTCTCCCTTTCATTTTCTTCTGCTTAGGATGCATGCCTCCCTGTATTCTCCTCCTATGTGGAAGCAGCAGCACACTTGCAAAGTACTCCTGGCAGATGCTGTTTCTCCATGCCCAGGGCAGGAACAGCAGCAGTTCTCTGCAGCTCACGTCACCCATCAAATCCTTGAGTAGAAAAGCTTTTTTAGTACAGCTAGCCAAAGCACAAGGATAGGCAAGTGTTAGTACTGTTAACAAGACACATTTAACTCTAAAATGGATTGAGACAGGGAAACAAAATTATTGTCCAGATGCTGATCCTAAAAAGAGCATCCCATTTCAAACTTGTGGGCTGTTGAAAAGATTAAAAAAACTGGAAAAAAACCCATGCTTAAAACTTTCTGCATATTGTAAGCTAAGCTCTAAGTATGCTTGCACAGTGGATACTGTGAAAATATAATCATATATCCTGGATTATGCCCTGTTTCTACTTATGATTATAATTTGTCTCTTTTAGCAGAAGCTGGAAGTTTCCTTCCTACCACTTCCTTCCTCCCACCACCTTGTAGCTAAACCACCAAAACTCAGCATTGTGTCCCAGTGAGCCACCACCACACTTCCCACTGAAAGTTGCATTGCATACCCTACTCCTTTATCCTGCTATTTAGTGTAGAGGCTTAAGGGGTAAACTGCACGGGGGGAACACTAGCAGGTCCTTTACTTTGGGAAGTCAATTAACTATTCCCTCGGGATAGCATATTCCAAGGGATCCAGGCAAGAGGAACTTATATGGATGGCTGAAGATACTTTTGCTCCCCACTGTGAGCTTATTTTCCTGACATACTCTTTCTGATCTAGCATAATTTTAGGCTCAGGCAAGTAAACCAGTTTTAAAACTGCACCTAATCCATGCTGTACGGAGGGAACTCCTTAACAAAGAAGAACTTGCAGTTCTTTGGAAATTTTTCCAGGTTGGTTCTTCTCAAAAATTCCTTTGCCTTATGCCCACTGGGATAAAAAAGCCACTTAAATATGCGCCTCCAGGCACTGCTGTTTGTGAGGCTACTTTGAGTAACTGCTCACAGGTCTCTGCTTGAGAGTCATATGGATGGAGAAGAACTCAGCTCTGGGACCATGTGTTGCTTTATGTTTCATTGACATATGTCAATGTCAGAGGCAGGAACTACAATGAGAAGAGAAAGAAATCTGCAGGAAATCTGCAGACAAGACAGAGAAAAAAAGCCACCATAAAAATATCAAGGTAAATTTAATGTGACTTGCATATACCATTTGTAACTTTGATAGGAACAGAGAAAGAATTGATCCTGTTATGCTGATTGCATTTTAGCACAGTACTTTTAGCACAGTTTGCATTTAGCAAACAATAATTCCATGCATGAGTCTCAATTATAAGCTCTACATTCGTGGTATTTGTGGATCAAGCCCCTAAATGCTAAAGCTTTGGGTTTCAATTAATATGTAAAAAATATTTTAGACTTGCGTTAACTCAAACCTTTCAGTTAATTCAAACCTTTATTTGAAAATAACCATTCTATAAATTAGTAAATTCAGGTTTGTCTAGGAAATTTCTATCATTTCTCATTAAGAGAACTCACACAGAAAATACATCCTTAGGACACACAAGGCATTTAAATAAATTTGGAAAAGTGTGTTTTGCTATGGTCCCCGACATTTCTTTCATAAAACAGCCGAACAATTTCAGGATTCCTAACAGAAATCTTGATTGTACAGGCCAGATAAAAAAGAAACCACTGTATTCCCAGAAGGGTCTTGAGATACTGTAATGAACATAGAGCATACCATGTTTCTTTTGCAGGTCACAGACTGCAGAATATTCTGAGTTGAAAGGGACACACAAGAATCTGCAAGTTCTACTCTTAAGTGGGTGGTCTGTATGGGGATTGAACACACCACCTTGGTATTAGTAGTGGACACAGGGTACTACACTTTTTGCACATTCTGGTTTTATTTGCCCACCTATGATCCTATGTTATTTTTCTTACTCCCTTCACCTATTAAACCAACAAACAGTTCAGGGAACTGTATATCTGACTCTCTTTACAGCCATTATAAAATAAGCAGCTTTCTTCTGAACTCCTTAAAAATATAAAATGCATTGACCAAGTGCCACTTCCTAAATATTGAGGGCAAAAATTGAATGAACAAACAACAGTGGAGTTGACACAACGGTAACAGCACAGGAACAGAACTTACACTGGGAAAAATCCCATGTGGCAAACTTGAAGAAGGAATTAGAGCAAAACTACTTTGAAAGTCTTTCCACTTGTCTTCTTATCCATTTTTACTCTCCTTTCCTAAGTGTAATAAGTACATTGGATCTAGTACTATAATTTAACAATTTATGAATACCAGAAAGTTGTTACATTTGTGATGATTCAGGGTTACAGAGGAGATGAGATTTTCAGATGGGTTTAATGTCTTTTATTAGAGCAAGAGATAGATTATTTTTAAAAGAAATGCTTTTGGACCCTTAACTTTTTATCAAAACTTAGATAGGAGCAAAGGACTTCAAGCCTCTGCAAGGCTGGATGTTTCTCTGTGAAGCAAAGGCAGTTGTGAGCTAAAAAAGGTAACAATTTTAAGAGCAGTGATGTAATGTTGGAGATAATGATATATTTTAGATCACAAGATATTTTATTTTCTGCAGACCTGATTATTTCAATTAATTAAAACAATTGAAAAATTACAAAATTATTGTAAAAAAATGGTAAATTTGTAAATTAACAAAACCCCTGGATTTTCACTGGGTTATTACAAGATTCGTGATGCAATTTCCTGGATGCCAGAAAAATACTGTACACTTTGTTGCCATGAATGCCAGCCCAGCACTCAGTGAAACACTAAGAGATTAGGAATCTGACAAAGGTAAGCAAATTGCTACCTAGAAGCTTGTTTTTTCTTTAATTTGGACAAAACAGAGTAGCTGAAGTGCATAACAAGCACAAGTGTTCAGAGCTTTCCCAGATTTTTTTGAATGGTTCACAGGCAAGGATGACAGCAGAAGAGAAGCAGAACTGCCTGTATCCTCTGCTGGGCAGTGATGACTAACACAAAGTACAGCCCATTGTCCAGATCCCAAAAGACAGAACTCAGGTGCCTTGCCAGAAGCTATGGCTCAAAACGTGATCCCTGAAAGTCTGTGCTCATAGAGGTCAGAAGAGCCAAAGGACCAGTAAACTCTGATGGCTCACCTAACACTCTGTATATCTGTATAGAAGCATTTTCGTTGCCTCTCAATGTGAACGTCGCTATATTAATCCATGAACTCTTTTCCCCAGTAACTCAAATTAATGGAAATTATGTGTGTAACTTCAAAGGATGGTACTACAGTAACACAAATCATTACACAACACAAACATGTTGACAAACTGATGATTTGGGCTCCACATGTAAGTTAAATCAAAGTTATTTAACTAAATTATCAAGGCCTTATCCTGGGCCCCCTAAAGAGCTCAGAAACTTGCCCTATTCATAGGGAAAGATTTAAGTACATAATATATGCTGAATTATTATGGTACAGTTTCTGTTTCCCTCAAAGACTCAAGCAATGGTTCTGCTGATCCTGCACACTTTCCCTAAAGAGATTATTATGTTAATCCCAAATATTATACTACCCAAGCTATCCTATATTTGACTTCATCATATCCAGTGTTCTGCAAATAATCTCTAGCAGCTTTAGCTAGTGTTTATATAAGCGGGTCAGGATGACTGAGTATTGGTGACCATGTTTTCTGTGCAGCACTCTAAAACATTGGAAGTGCACTTGGCCAAAAAATACTGTCTACACAGAAAATACATAGCAAAGTTCTTTCCTATAAGAATTATATTTAGTATTTACTCTGCCAAAATGTTTGTCACAATTTCACTTAAAATATTTTATAATATATCGGGCATTTAGCAGGACATATTATCTTCCCTCTCTACTTCTCTTTACTCAGAAAGCTACTTAGATTGTGCCAGGATTTCTGACCTATTGTTTCCTGAATACAACAATCCATGTCTGCATTCTTTTCCCTTCTGTATAAATGGACTAATGAACTCTGCAAAGCAAGAGTTCAGATTCCATGATAAATACTTACTGTCTATTTTGCATGTCGAAGT